CTAAAAAAAAAAATACACTGGGCAACTTTAAAAAGCTGAAAATGATAAAAAGCACCTATAGCTTTAAAAGATGGATTCCCACAGTGCCTGTTGCTAGGCAACCATAGTATTCCAAGCTGTCAATACTGTGAGCACTTTAATTTTAAATTGTTTAATTATTTAACTGTTTTAACTGTTTAATTATTTTTAATTGTTTATGATTCTGGCACACTATGCCAAACATTGTTAGCTGCCCTGAGCCTGCTTGCGGGGAGAGTGGGATATAAATGGAAAAATAAATAAATAAATAAATAAAAGGCAGGGGAAGGTGGCAGGTCTTATTTTGGCTTTTGAGGGAGGGATCCTTGGGTCCAACCTGACAAGTCACCAGCTCTAAGTTGGGAAATCCCTAGAGTCTGAAGAGGGCAGGGTTTGGGGAAGGGGGAATTCTCAGCTTTAAAGCAGCCATTTTCTCCAGGAAGACAGATCTCTGTTGTCTGGAGTTCAGGTTTAATTCTGGGGAACCTCCAGGTCCCACCTAAAGGTTGGCAACACTAGGCCTGGCAGCACCCTCTGGGTGACTTGACACCACTTGACATGCATGACTCAACTAGGCCTGGCTGCTTGCTACTGATCAACAGGAACTACCCTATGAAATCCAGTGTGGGGCAGCGATTAGTGCTTCAGAGTAGGGTCTGTGAGACCCAGGTTCAGATCCCCATCTTGCTGTGGAAGCTGACTGGGTGATTTTGAACCAGGCACGTACTTTCAGCCTAACCTACCTCACAGGGTTGTTCTACACATAAAAAGGAGGAGAAAATATTGTAAGCTGCTTTGGTCTCCACTGTCTAGAAAGACTGTAGATTTCCTTGGTAAAGGCTGTGGGGAAGGAGGGTGAAGATGGAAACATGAAGGAAGAGGGGCAGATAAAGGTAGGTTGGCTGTTGGGTGGGAAGGAGATAGAGTTGCCAACTCCAGATTGGGAAATTTCTGGACGTTTTAGGGGTGGAGCCTGGGGAGGGTGGGGTTTGAGGGGGGGGACATCAGACTGGTACAATGCCATAGACTCCATCCTCCAAGCTGGCAACACTAGGCCTGGCAGCACCCTCTGGGTGACTTGACACCACTTGACATGCATGACTCAACTAGGCCTGGCTGCTTGCTACTGATCAACAGGAACTACCCTATGAAATCCAGTGTGGGGCAGCGATTAGTGCTTCAGAGTAGGGTCTGTGAGACCCAGGTTCAGATCCCCATCTTGCTGTGGAAGCTGACTGGGAGATTTTGAACCCGGCAAGTACTTTCAGCCTAACCTACCTCCCAGCGTTGTTCTACACATAAAAAGGAGGAGAAAATATTGTAAGCTGCTTTGGTCTCCACTGTCTAGAAAGACTGTAGATTTCCTTGGTAAAGGCTGTGGGGAAGGAGGGTGAAGATGGAAACATGAAGGAAGAGGGGCAGATAAAGGTAGGTTGGCTGTTGGGTGGGAAGGAGATAGAGTTGCCAACTCCAGATTGGGAAATTTCTGGACGTTTTAGGGGTGGAGCCTGGGGAGGGTGGGGTTTGAGGGGGGGGACATCAGACTGGTACAATGCCATAGACTCCATCCTCCAAGCTTGCCATTTCCTCCATGAGAATTACATGGCCAACCTCCAGGTGAGGGCTGGAAATCACCTGGAATTACAACTACTCTCCAGGTGACAGAGATCAGTTCCCTAAGCTAAAATGTCTGCTTTGGAGGGTGGAGTCTATGGCATCATGCCCTGCTGAGGTTGCTTCCCTCCCCAAGCGTCACTGTCCCAAGGCTCCACCCCCAGATCTCCAGGAATTTCCCAGCCTGGTGCTGTCAACCCTAAGGGGAACTGATCTCTGTAGCTGAGAGATCCCTTGTGATTCCTGGAGAGCTACCACTGCTGCTCTGGAGGAGGGGAGGAAGCAGGTGGGCGGCTGGGAGAGTGATGGGGGCCGAGGAGAGACAGAGGGGTAGAAAAACAAAGAGAGTGATGAGGGGGCAGAAAGAGAGAGGAAGTGACATGTATGGAGGAGAAAGAGAGTAAGAGAAGGTGCAGCAGAAGAGAGAAAGACTGTGAGAGGTAGGGGGAGAAGAGAGGAAGCAAAAGTGGGGGTAATGGGATAGCTGCCCCTCAAGTTTCTTGCAGGTCTCCACTTGTCTCTATGTAATATCTGTGATGGTGCCAAAAAGGTAAACAGTGAACAAGCCTTCTGCTCTCATTGGTTCTGAGTGGATCTCAAACTTTAGCAAATAACGCTCCCCTCCCCATTTTGTGGATCCCCAGGTTGTCCTATGCTCCCTCATTGGCACATGCTAGATTTATGTCTACCTTGAAAAAGGGCTGTCTGTGTTGGATAATCATTCGGCAACCGCCAACTGCTTATTTCATCCTCTCTTAGAGACAGCCAAACGCCCATCCAAATCAAGAACACATCTGTTCCCCAAAGGTCAGAAGTCATGAGGAATCAGCAAGTTGGCTTCCTAGGATGGCCTAGGCTCTTATAAGATCTGTCTAAATCAGCTAATTCAAGGGCAAAGGGAGGAAAGGCAATTTGTAATTGTTTACAAACACATTTAAATACATGGCAAACATTCTTCTAAATAAGGATTTTAAAATGGGGGTGGAGGGGCATTTCTGTTGTCTGGCAAATTATATAAGCAATATCCAATTACATAGCAGTATTCCTTGGCACCAGTTCTCAATCCTGCTGTTTTAACCTCTAGCACCCGTCATTCTCCCAGAATGTCAAAAATAACTTCTGGAAGCTGCTTAAGAATCCCTGCATACAGGGGTCATTTCGTAGAAAAAGAGCTAGGGGGACTCATTACCATAACTCATTAGCATATGCCACACCCCCTGACATCACCGGGCACCAGCAGGGAGCTCCAGGCCCCGCCCTCCCGCACCTCACCCGGGGGGATGGCGTCCCCCCGCGCCCCCCCACAAATGACCCCTGCCTGCATAAAAGAGGCAGCTGTTTAGTGGGTGTGAAAGGAGATGGTTAAGTGTGAGCAAAGGGAATTCACTGATGAGTGAACAGGGGTAAGCAGCCTGGGACTGCGGAGATGAGGGGGAGGCAGGGAGAATGAACAAAGAGGTGATTGACTTAAGAAATTTTTGTGTTGGCAGTTAAATAAAGCAGAATTTGTTGTGCCTTCTGATCTTAGGAAGGGGAAGGTAGCATTTAATGTGATCAACAGTATGGTTAAAGTGTAAGCCACCCTAAGCCTAGAGGATAGGAGAGGAGAGGGTATAAATTGAAATAAATATGCAAACAAAATAATTAAAAAGAGGGGTGACATGATTGAGGTTTATAAAATTATGCATGGGATAGAGCAGGTTGAGAAAGAAGTACTTTTCTCCCTTTCTCACAATACAAGAAGTCATGGGCACTCAATGAAATTGCTGAGCAGTCAAGTTAGAACGGATAAAAGGAAGTACTTCTTCACCCAAAGAGTGATGAACACGTGGAATTCACTGCCACAGGAGGTGGTGGCGACTACAAGCATGGATGGCTTCAAGAGGGAATTAGATAAGCATATGGAGCAGAGATCCATCAGTGGCTATTAGCCACAAGGTAGAGACAGGAACTCTCAGGCTGGGGCAAGTGATGCTCTGTATTCTTGGTGCTTGGGGGGGGGAGCAACAGTGTGAGGGCTCCTAGTGTCCTGGCCCCACTGGTGGACCTCCTGATGGCACCTGGTATTTTTGGCCACTGTGTGACAGAGTGTTGGACTGGATGGGCCATTGGCCTGATCCAACACTAGCTTCTCTTATGTTCTTAAGAAAGTGCACCATTCAGGGCCTGTCCAGTGAGGAAAGAGGAATGTTTAGGCAACTGCCGAGACTCTATGCCTGACTGCTTTCGCTCTGGGCATGTCTTATAACCCAAGCTTTGGACATTTTATGTAGTAGTTGTGTGCCTTGCAAAAGCTGAAAATTAAGAAAGGTCAACCAGACTCTTCCAAAGCCCTCTGAGCTGCAGGCACAGGAATTGTTTCAGTCCAACCCTAGGAAGTGACAAAGGACAGGATCCCTCTACACTCATGGAGTTGAAGCCCAGAGCCTACGGCTATCATGAGTTGGGACTCAACCAGCATAATTAGTAGGACTGCAGCAAGGTCAGTAACTCAGGCGCAGTCCTTACTCTGTTCTCCTATTCTCACATTTAGAATTTATTTACACCCCACACAGTGCCATTCAGAGGTCAAATGGTAGATGGAACCTTGCTGAAAACTGGGATTTTACAAACAAACAAACAAAAAGGGCCTTAACAAAAGCATATGTAGGCATACTAACTCAAACCAGGCTTATACAGGTATTTGGCAAATTAGACTTACAGAGGGTGTGGAGCATTAAGCAATTCAGGGACAGTGTGTGGTACAAGGAAGAGCAGCAACACCATCAGAGGCGACATCACACAGTTAACTTGACTACAATATTCAGCCTGTCAGGTCACTCCACAAGCCGGGCCATTACAAAGCAAGGAGGAAAGGCAAAAGAGATGACTGGTCAGGTAAGACTATACATGGGGTATAAAACTTCCAAATCCTTTAGAAACTCCTGTTAAGAGAAAGAGAGGTGCTAGGAAGATTTGGGGACTGGCTGGTCCATCACAAGAATGATATGCCAAATAAATGGTATTGTAGATATCCTTAAGAGAACTGTCAAGACAGACCAGACTCCTTTCATCGTGGTGATATCCCCAACCAGGAAATGAAGAAGCTTGCCAATGACTGGGCTTGTCCTGTTTTTTAAAAAACCCACATTTCCCCCAAGTTGCTGCATCTCATGGCTGATCAGTGCTTCGAGTTATGCATATTGGTGTACTGGAATTACAGCTTTAACCAGTTCCCAAAGTGGACTTTTGGGGCTAAAGAGTACACTGCAGATTTTCATGTTATGGTGTGCTTACTGCCTTGGCGACCATCCATAGAAAATTGACACAAGAGAGTGACTTGTGTTTTGCAGGCACTTGACTCAAGTGCTCTTTTCCTCTTCTTGTTTTCAAATTTGGGTCTGAAGAGTGTGGCCTGTGGGGGTGTACGGAGGTGGAGCCGGGTTGGGTTTGATGCCACGCCCTTTCATGTAGGAGATGAATTGGTCTGGGATCTCAGCAAGGACATCTTTAGCCAATCGAGCCATACTCAGGACATGGTTTCCTGTGCGGTCAATGTAATCCCGGAATGGAACAAACTGCAAGAGAATATTATATGCATATCAGATGCTTGAAAGGCAAAACCATAAATTATTTTAAAAACAACAACTGGGACTTTCTGATCCAGACAGACTGAACAGAATAGTACAGAAAGTACAGAAGGATCACGGATCTCAAACTCCTGACATTCTCCATGAAGAGAGAACGCCCAGACCTCCTCAGCTGAGGTCCTACCACAGAAAGATAAACCGAAGCAACAGATCACAAGAAACTGCACTCAAGAGCTTTTCAAACAGTAATCAATAATGGAAGGAAATGCTTTACAAGGAAGAAGATACTTTGTTGGGCTTTTTGCTAATCTAAGGTCAGTTAGTCTTCTGACAGGATGATTTTCACCTACCTCAAATATGGGCAGGGCTGTATAAATAGTACTGTCTGATATTATTTCTCCTCACCCTGCCAACCAGCCATACTTTCTTTGCTATATTGGTCCATATACAGAGCAGATGTGAAACAGTCAGGACTGGGCTACTGTTGATTCAGAGCTTCCTGCCTGGCACATTTTGGTCACATGAAGTGCAACATAGATGCTGCTGATGCAGACCTTTTCTTGGGTTTCTCACGTGATGAAGGTATTATAAAAGTTTCTGTCACAAGCCAGTTTTGAAAAGCAAAGAGTCTTCCATTGACTCCCCCTTTGTGCCAAGACTGGTACATAGCTTTAAGCCCGCAAGGCAAGTAGTTTATGTGGTGGCTTTCGGCTTGGTCTACGACATTAAAGAGGGCTAAAACCGATATGAGACAAAAATTCATTGTTACCTGGACAATGTCACGTTCAGCAACCTTCCCCCGAGATGAGATTCGAATGTCATCTCCATCCAGCTCTACCATGGCTGCATTGCAAGGAGAGGTGAACAGTAAGTAGGATTAGTCACAAAGTGTGAAATGGTACGAAGGAGCCAAAAGCTATGACAGCTCCAAAAAGCCCATCTGGACCACGGCAGATTAAGAGATCAATTATCTGGAAAAGGTGAGTCAAGAGAATCATTCTGCTCTTTTCCTTTGGACAGCTGAACTGGAATTTCCCCTGCGCATAATGCAATTTGTACCGCTATCAGCTTTATCAATGCCCATTCCTCATTGCAAGGTGTAATTCAGCTGTTAGACTTGTTAATTTCATTATACAATTTCCCTGCAATTTTGATGCTGGAGACTTTCAGATGCAAGCAGGGCAGACTGGCTATTTAACTCACAGAGAGATTTACCTGTGGGCCAGTGCCCTAGAGGGCTGCTGGTCACCAGGAGCAAATGTAGCCAAGCTCTGGCATCTCTGCCTGAGCCTCCAGGGCCACTTGGCCCAGCCCCTTCATCAGCAATGGTATCTGATGTCAGTTCACCAGTGGTCTTTTCCCACACTGCTGCCCGTTTTCAGGAGGGAGCAATGGGTGAGCTAATGCCCACTGTTTGTACCTTTGAGCTGAGTAGCCCCTGCAGCACTGGTTTGTAGCTCCACAGGGGCCAATTCAGCCTGGGTTGTTCCTGGGCCTTTTTTACTTCCCAGTTTCCTCCTGAATATAAGGCATGAAAATTTTAATTGACAGCTTGAACAATTACATGAGATATCTCGGCTGATGCTTTGTACGACCTCTGGCATTTACTTTGGTTGGCTAATAATGCTTTATTAAATGAAGCCTACAGTGACCTCTCATATCCTTACTGGCAAACCCAAGCATACAGCTGTCTCTAACTTTCCCCATGAATGTGTTATCTGTAATTCAGCTACATAGCAAGTACAGTATTGGCAATTTTCATACATAACACAACACCAAAATTAGATGGTATGTGAGCGAGCCTTGAAGGAACACCTTGCTCACCCATGTAATCTTTTCTCCCCCTCACACTGTGCACTAATTAGTTACTTTTGGGGTTTTAGCAAACCATAATTTGCCAGTGTATCCAAACCAAATTTGCCCAGCAAATTTGAGACCATGGTAATGGCAATCTTTAGTTTGCAAAAGACCAGAAACAGCGAATTCTCATGCAGTGCATGAAGAGAGAAGTGATCACATGGGCAAGCCTGAAGCTCTTTCAGGTTTGTTCATGCAGCACCAAATTATGGTTTGGCATGTGAACCATGCAAAAATTGAAAACCCGTGTTATATGTGTGTGTAAAGTGCCATCAAGTTGCAGCCAACTTACGGCTACCCCAGCAAGGGACTTTCAAGGCAAGTGAGAAGCAGAGGTGGTTTGTAGAGTCTTCTTTGGAGGTCTCCCTTCAAATTACTGACCCTGATTAGCTTCCAAGATCTGATGGGATTGGGCTATACCATGCTGCCTTCCCTCATCCATGTTATGTACCTTCTATGATATTAATGTTTGAGTGTTCTGATTTGCTGAGAAATCCAGCAAAAGAATAAACTGCTCAGAGGGAAATTGGCGTTTCCTTCCCAGGAAATATTCAAGAGAATTTAGAAACAGCCAGGAATGCTTTAGCTTTATGACTCTGTAATATCAAAGTCCTGGTGTGCAAAATTGTGGAGCTGCTGCTAAAGGCCTGGGCTGCAGACGATGATGCTCCCATGTAGCAACAGATGTAAGGTGATGTGCAACAGTAAGCCAGGGGGCTGCACCTGTCTCCTGTACCTTTCCAGAGAATATGATGGACAGGGATAGAGCAACTGCAGCATCACCCAGTACGGAGATGCAGTGATAGAGACAGCTGCATCTGTTTCTCTACTGTTGATCATACAGCTTTCAAAGGCACAGAGGCCCTGCACACACAAAAAGGATCAATAGTCACAGCCCTCTGTGATGCTGTCAGGACTCATGCCACAACTGAGGCTTTGCTGTAAACATTGGTTTGGATCCAGCACAAAATTTCTACTTGTCCTATGCACTAGATCAAACTTACTGTATCTCTCAAAAGTGTATACTCTGAAACTCTTGTTAGTATCTAAGATGCCACTGGACTAAAATCTAACTGTATTTCCACTTGTGTTTTCACTTGTGTACAATTTTGTGCCACCAGTTTCTGGGCACTATAATATATAAGGAGGAATGTACTAGGTGTTGTACAAGATCTTGTGCAAGTAGAACTGTGCTAAAACTGTTTATGCTTCTGCTTGTGCATCACTGGACCCAAGCCACTGTGACTCTCTCCTCTGTGTCACCGTTCTCAAAATGGGTAGCAAACAGGTAACCACAACATCCTTGATATACATGTTCTTTATAACATGCTCACTGAGAAGGGGGGGGGGGAGAGGGTTCTCCCCTACCACATCATACTGGGGCTGAGAGTCTACATTTTGCACATGCCATCATTACTGGATCACAGGAGGGCATGCCCTAGCAGCTCAATGGGCTTTTAACTCACTCCCTTTGACATGGCTCATATTATCATCATCTTCATTGTGAGAGACCCAACAGTATGAAGTAAAGGGTTGGAGAAGTGTGGTTAACTTGTAGACACTGGCTTTCATGCTATTGAACATGGCCAGGCCAGGAGATGATGAGCATCTTGATAAGCATCCTGGAGGCAAGAATAAGTCAATTACTTGAGTGAGGCCATTGGTCCATGTGCCAGATGATCTGATGGCTATTACACTGCCCTTGCAGGTGTAAATGTGACTCTTCCCAGCTCTGTTTGGGTGTCCATACCCAAGAACTCATTTAGAGTAAACCCTGGACTGTGGCTGTACTAGCTGGGATGCACTAGTGAGATGCAACAAAGGAGGGAGAGGAAGGATGTGTGTCAAAAGTGTGGCCCCACAAAGCTCTCTTTTTGAGCATTTATTGGGGATGTGTCATTAAGGTCTAGCACATGCAATGGGACATAGGATCATAGAATCATAGAATGTTAGAGTTGGAAGAAGAGCCCTGCTGGATCAGAGCAATGGTCCATCTAGTCCAGCATCCTGTGTCACACAGTGACCAACCAGTTCCTCTGAACAGCCAACAAAAGAGCATAGAGACTGAGGCCTTCCCCTGATGTTGTCTCCTGGCTCTGGGATTCAGAGGCTTAGTGCCTCTGATTGTGGAGGTTCCTTCAGTCACCATGGCTAGAAGCCACTGATAGACTTGTCCTCCACTGAATCTATCTACTCCCCTTTAAAAGCTGTTTATGCCTGTGGCCATATAAGAACATATAAGGACATCTGAGATCTAATCCTTCACCTCTCCCTTTTCCATCTATAGTCAGTGTTGCCAGCAGGGCACTCAGTAGGGTGCCTTAAGTACGTTTGCCTGAGGTGTGACTCATGGTTTCCCCTAAACAATATATACAAAAGGGTAAGGGGTTGCAGTATAAATAAACTAGAATAAATAGAACTACTGCAAATATGCAACTAATGATTATACTAATAATTTCCCAAGTGAATACAAAATTACAAAATACACAATTAATGATGAACAGATGGACGAAATTCTCCAGAGTTGGTGTTCCGTTTCGTAAAGACTTCGTCACACATCAAAACTCATAAAGAAGTGTCCTCACAAAGTTACAGGGATTTCAAATGGATTCTTCATTATTCCTGAATGTTTGTAGTATTCATTCATGATATATGCCAGACCATAGTGTAAATACGGGCTAGTCAGCCTTTGTAGGCTTTGTGAGGACACTTCTTTATGAGTTTTGATGTGTGAAGAAGTCTTTATGAAACGGAACACCAACTCCGGAGAATTTCGTCCATCTAGTTATCATCTGCAGATAACAAATATGTTATTGTAATTGTGTATTTTGTAATTTTGTATTCACTTGGGAAATTATTATTATAATCATTAGTTGCATATTTCCAGTAGTTCTATTTATTTTGAGGTGCGACTCAGCCCTGCCTTTCCAGCTTCCAAGAGGATTGCCTCTTCTTCTTTTTTTTCTATTTGTATTTTTTATTTGAAAGAACGTGCAACAATACAGAAAATACTGTATAAGAACATTTTTTTACATTTTAGTTGAAATAGAGCAACAAATGTTTTGCAATAAACATTGATACCATATGTGCAATAGGAAGAAAGAAACAGGTGAACAAAGAGAACTGTAAGGTTTTGTAAATTTGTAAACAGGAGTGAATAAATTTGTAAACAGGAGTGAATTTGTAAACAGGAGTGGGATGCCTGCAATGGTACGTAGGATATATGTTCCATTTAATAGGTCAGGCAAAAAACAAAGGTTATAAATGCTAAATAGACCTAACTCTGTGTGTACCAGAATGAAATATGTAGGTAAACCCTAGATACATTAAGGAGCAATAAATAGTAAAAGTAAGGATCACCACCTCAAATCAGAGAAGGAGGATATTTATTGACAGAGACATACCGACCTCATGACCATCCAGAGGGCATGAATCCACTCCGTGTTAGATATTCTAGTATAGGAGACCATTTCTTCACAAAGGTAGATTTCACCGGTTTGAGCAGGGAAGCATTAATTTTATGGGTAATATTGTCCATGAGATATTGGTCCCAGAGCTTATGGAACCAGAGTTCTAAATTTGGGGGATGTTTGTCACGCCAATGGGAGGTGATAGCTGTTTTTGCCGCAAACAGTAGGGCGTCTATTGTAGGCTTCATATGTCGTATGCCTACAGGATCAGGCCAGTGATCTAGAAAAAGTGTCTCAGGTGTTAATGGGACAGTGATCCCTGTGATCTGTTTGACGTGGGATAAAACAAGGGTCCAAAAGGAGTGGATTGAAGCACAACTCCACCAACAGTGGGCAAATGTGCCCGTCTGTTGGCAACCCTTCCAACATAGGGGAGATTTAGAGGGACATAGATGTGAGATCAGTTTAGGGGTCATATACCAATGTGACATAATTTTCAGGGTTTGTAATTCAACTGCTGCTATAGGTGATTTGAAGTTAGATGAAGTCCGCAAGTTTGACCAGATGTTGTCATCTAATGTAATTTGGCAGTCCTTTTGCCAAGCATTTTGGTATGGCAATAATTTAGGCTGTGGATCCTCAAGCAATAGGGAATAAAAGGCAGAGACCAGATGGCGATTTTGGGATTGGTAAAGTTTCAATATGAGTTCTAGTTCTGTATGAGGCTGTTTGAGAAGATCTGTTATTTTGAGTTGTGTACAAGCGTGACCTAATTGTAAGTAAAGATACCATGGGATTGAGCACTTTAATACCTTCTCTAATTCTGACTTTCGTAGGATTCCTTGTCTGTTTGCAATATCGCAGAAACGCGAGAGTCCATGCTTTTTCCAGCATGAGCTAGTATTTAATGATACATTGTCCCTGAACCATTGCTGGTGTGTGAAGGTGGAATATCTTGAGGTCTTTGGTAAGAGTCTTTTTCTTAGGTTCCTCCACAAGCATATAGAAGAGTGTAGGAAAGGAGCACGGATTGCCTCTTCTAACTGAGCTACTGGGCGGCTCATAACGCTGCCTCCTGTGAGCTTGCTGTTGTACTTCCTGTTCTTTCTTCCCCACGTGTAAACATCCCTTTCCTTTCCAAAATGCTTAATTCCCTTCTATTGGCAGGGCAAATATATTGTATGCAATAGTATACGTATGGAGGCACTGGTTATGTGACAGGATTTGTTCCTCAAGGGACTTATGGTCTCTCAGTTCTGTGGGAAACCCACAAGCTAATCACTGGATGACAGGGTTGGCTGGTTGTTGTGATTCTTCCCTGAGATCCCTGGCAGTCCTCCGTTACCTGACTGACTCTCATGCTCTCCCTGGCAAAAAGGCAGGTATTTATATGTTGCTTTTTAAGGCTACCCAGGGATTCCTGTCTGCAAAAGCCTGGTGTTGGTGGCTACTGGTGTTAGCTGATGCTCTGAAGGCTCCAGCACCACGGTCATTTACACAGTGGAGGCCACTGTGATCTTTCTGTGATCTTTCTGGCTTGGTTGTACATTGTGTGTGTGTGTATACTGACTTGGCTGGCATCATAAAGTTGCTCGGCTATCCTTTCGTTTCCTTTAATCTGATTAAAGCTCCTTGACTAAAAGTCTTGAGCAGTCAAAAACCTATCTGTTAAGGAGCATTATCTGGACACAACACTAAACCAATGGAAAAATCTTGCAACAGCAAGGGTAAGGTTAGGGAATCTGTTAGATACAAGGAGTAAAACTAGCTTGTGACGAGACTGTGTAATGCATGGTTTTTGTGGGTGTTATCACCATAAAGTGCTGTGATTTTTGAGCAATGGCCAAGTTGCTGGGGTGCTATAAGAATATGTTGGTGTTTCTACATACTGCTCTTTTTTTCCTATGGCCACTCTGCTCTGCTGCCTAAGCATAAGTTAGTGATCCTGTGATGTAGCATAAGTTAGTCATCCTGGTGTAGCAGGAGTACAGGAGCCACCTTTTAGTTAAAGTACTCAAAGTCATCATGTTGCAAATAAATTCACTGAATGCAAATTTGGTTCTTACCATCAAATTCAGCCTGTCCAACTCCCACAATGATTATGGACATTGGAAGCTTGGCAGCCTTAGGCCCATCAGGAAGCAAAGAAGAATGGGAGGAGGGGGGTTGTGGGAGAGAGGGTTGTCAGTGTGGATTTGAGATGGGGGAATAGAGAAGAGAAAGAGCATGCATTCAAGACAGAACTGTAATGCATCAGAAACCATGCTACAGTATACAGCCAGTTAGCGCTACTTAAGAGTAAATATCTTTCCTTATATATAATTGTCACGGCGTGGCAAGATTTGATGTGCGGCAAAATCAGTTGGCCGCATGAACTGCCACTCACAGCCTCTGCCAATCCCCTGGCTGCATTGCCCGCCCACAGAGCCAGAGGCCAGCGTGTCAGCCTCAGTGTCAAGGGAGCCAGCGAAGGGTGCAGACACTCTGGCTGCCAGCCCTAGATGACATCAGCCGCTGAGTGGCTGCCCCCACCCACCTTTCCCTGCTCGCCCGCAGAACCAGGCGGGCAGGGAAAGGACTCCCGAGGCCCCCCTCCCTCTTTCCCCGCTTGCCCGCCGAGGCGGAGGGGCAGGGAAAGGACTCCTGCGGCCTCTGTTGACATATATGCCTAGGTAAGACATCAGACCTGGTGATCGCACCTATCTACTTGACAGCTTTGACAGCCACAGAGGCCAGAACAGACCGGTTCTAGCCAGAGCAGAACAGCTCTGTAACAATGACTCAGCGGTGTGTGCTGATTGGCTGTAGCTTGTATATAAGTGTATAGTGTCTGTATGATGTATCCTCTTCTCCTCTATGACGTGTATTGTGGAGCACTTTGTTGGTGAGCTCCAGAAAATATATATAGCTGTAAATAAACTGTAAATAGTTAAGCACAGGACTGTGTCTGTGTGGCTTGCTATTGCTAGCACCAGTTGGCATAATTGCGCACTTGGTCTAAGGGCAACTAACAATTCAACGCGCTGCGCGCCAGCCTCCCCTTCCCTCTCAGAGCCGCCTTGCTCACCCTACCCATGACCGCAGGGAAACCGAGCAAGCCACTGGAAGGAGAGGCAGTTTAAACCCCCTCCCCTTCCCTTTCAGAGCCGCCTTGCTCACCCTCCCCGTGGCTGCGGGGAAGGCGAGCAAGCCAGTGGAAGGAGAGGCGGTTTAAACCCCTTCCCTGTCAGAGCCGCCTTGCTCGCCCTTCCCACGGCAGGGAGCCAGGAGGATGGGCCCGGCTGGCCTCGCCATGGCCTGCTGGCTCCCTCCAGTCCCAGCCCAAGCTCGCCTGGCTTCCTCCCCAGACTCCAGCTGTGGCCACCTCGTGCCTCCCTCCCATGGCCACCAAATTGTGTAAGGGCTGTGGAGAACCGAGGCCCGGCTGGAGGGAGGTCGAAGAGGGAGACAAGCCAAAAGCACTGCGGCCTGCCTTACTATGGGCTCCTCTCTGTCACCGCCTCTGCTCAGCCTGGCCAGCAGCACGATGACTCTGACGGGAGGGGAGGGAGGTGTGGCGCCTCTGCTTCGGCACCGCACCACCTGCCGCCTGCCTGTCTTTGCCCCCCCTTCCCTTCTGAGGCTGGTGGGAGAACCGGGTGACGTGGGGCCTCTCCTTTGATGGAGTGCCGCCCGTTGCCAGCCCACCTGAGGCCGGTGGGAGGCCTCTGGGAGGTCTGGGTGCCGTCAGACCTCTTGCCCGGCAGCACGCTCACTGTCGCCGGCCTGTCTTCATCCCCCCCCCCCCCAAGCTGAGAGGACAGACCCTCGGGGGACCCCGTCCCT